ACGAAGATCTGCATACCGCCACGGAGACGCAAAACCAGATGAAGGGTCGACTCCTTCTGAATATTGTAGTCGCTAAGAGTGCGACCATCTTCCAACTGCTTTCCGGCGAAGATCAGCCTCTGTTGGTCTGGGGGAATGCCTTCTTTGTCTTGAATCTTTGTCTTCACATTTTCAATGGAGTCGCTCGGCTCGACTTCGAGCGTGATGGTCTTTCCGGTCAGAGTCTTCACGAAAATCTGCATTCCACCTCTCAGACGAAGAACAAGGTGAAGAGTGGACTCTTTTTGAATGTTGTAGTCGCTGAGAGTGCGACCATCTTCCAACTGCTTTCCGGCGAAGATCAACCTCTGCTGGTCTGGGGGGATACCTTCTTTGTCCTGGATCTTCGTCTTCACATTTTCAATGGAGTCGCTTGGCTCGACTTCAAGCGTGATGGTTTTGCCGGTCAGGGTTTTCACGAAGATCTGCATACCGCCACGGAGACGCAACACCAGATGAAGGGTCGACTCCTTCTGAATATTGTAGTCGCTAAGAGTGCGACCATCTTCCAATTGCTTGCCAGCGAAGATCAGTCTCTGTTGGTCGGGAGGGATGCCTTCTTTGTCTTGGATCTTTGTCTTCACATTCTCAATGGAGTCGCTCGGCTCAACTTCAAGCGTGATGGTCTTTCCGGTCAAAGTCTTAACGAAAATCTGCATTCCACCCCTCAAGCGAAGAACAAGGTGAAGAGTGGACTCTTTCTGAATGTTATAATCACTCAGAGTACGGCCATCTTCAAGTTGTTTGCCAGCGAAAATGAGACGCTGTTGATCGGGTGGGATGCCTTCTTTGTCTTGAATCTTCGTCTTCACATTCTCGATACTGTCGCTTGGTTCAACTTCAAGAGTGATAGTTTTACCGGTCAGAGTCTTCACGAAGATCTGCATGATGAATTTCGATGTGTAAGCGGGCTTTTTTCGCCTAATAAACGACGTAAACTCTAGTGCTGTTGAATTTCTCAAACGCAATGGCGTCGAAGGCAAAGGGCGCTTTCTTTATCGCTCCTGCGGTCATCTGATTGGCTAAAATCTCGCCAAGTCATACATCACGTGATTAGATTTTATGATGTCATAATTACGAAGATGAGAAAATTGAAATCAATCAATCACGATTACTGTCGTTTTTTCGTCAATCCTGCCTTTCAATGAAATGGTAAAGATTATTTTCAACCGCGATTGATGAATATCACTATTCTTCACTACCAGTGACTTGAAACTTTTCATTTGTCTCAGTGTACGTGATTTTATAGTTCAACTTATCATGCGCTATTTTTAGCATCACTTCATTTTCATTTTTCCGCCTGTTTCTGCTTATGTCAGCCGACTCAGCGTATTGACAACTTACCGCTATGAGAAATATGCCTGTATCATGCCTTCCAAGCGTGTTGTATGTCTGATGATCGTGTCAAACGTGTTTATTTTTTGCTGACATGTATTGTCTCTGTTTTTTCTCTCCAAGGATTAGAGAACTTTTCTCTAATCATATTTTATTTACTCTGCTTTTTACAGACGATAAGTTTCAGCTCAAGCGGATGTCGATTACTTACTCGCGGATGTGGATCGATACTTCTCGAACGTGCGAGATGCAAATCATAATTGCACTAGTTTCGAAAGTGTTTGACGCATATTGACACGGTACCGGCACTCACGGAATTGCTTATTCCAATACGCTTTGCGGAGTACGTGCCTTTAAATCGATACGAGCCTTAACAAACCCTACAATTCTTGCAAAGCCACTTATTGACCTTACAGTTTCTCTAGTGATAATCAACCTCAAAAAGTCTTCTTAAATAAAACAAGCTTTGTTTGTGGTAATCAGAGGAAAAAAATATGCAAATGTTTGCATGTTGTTGACTTGCTCACAGTCCGTTTCCAGTGTTTTGTTAGTCGGGCGAAAAACGGTCGACTTCTTGCGACCTCGTGGCTCCTTTTTGAGAATTTGACTTGTCACAAGCCAACACTATACAGATCCTGTACATGATAGTATGTCTTTAGCCATGATAAAGTCGAATTTGTGAAGTCGGGTGTTATTATTTTTTTTGTCTGAGATCTCGAGACTCGAGAGGTTGAGATGGCTGCGAAAAGACTGGGCTTCGTGGTTTTTTATCCCAACCTGAACTATGGGATATCTGAAGAACCAAGATGGCGGCAACTGTGGCTGGTTTACCTCAAGCGCAAAATCAAGTAAAACAACAAGCTGGTAGTGCGTCAGATAGGTCATTACGTTCAGTTTTCGGTACGTTACGTTTAAGAGCTCATATTTTCTCTTAGATCTTCAACGACTATGGTGTGGTTGATTCTTGATTCACGATCAAGTTTGGCGGGTCTGGCCAAGCATCCTTGAACCAGTTTCTGTACGTGTACTTGATTAGAGACGCTTTTAACTTTTACTCTGTGCTTTTCTTACCCTTTAAATGTTACTTAATTAGTAGTTTAGTCAGATTATTAAACAAACAGATTAAAACTCGTATCGAGTATTTATATCCCCCCGTTTGAAGCCCCAAACAGTTCATTAAATTAACATTATTGTAAATGCCTTAAGTGATAGTTGCCAAAGATTATATTTCTACCACATGCAGTTCTAAAGTTTGCAACCCTGGTTGACAATTCACCATATTCTTGTCAGTTCGTCTGTTTGTTGGACAATGTAAGAATACGGTAGCTAATTCTTGGATACGTTAAAGTGATACCATAGTTGCTAGTAAGAATTGCCACTAGTAATACTTTTTAGGACATATTTCCAATAGGAAACCTGCATCCACTGATGTCAATGCACATCTAGTAGCATTGTGCACTGACAACAGGTGTGTTATTACAGATCTTTGCCAATGGCATACCTCCTAATTTGGGTTACACTCAGCTTTGATTTGTTTTGTAATCATGTGTACATTTTGATGTATATGTGGTCTAAGATCCATACCTGGTTTTTTTTAATACTCACAGTTGGAAATATTCCTTATGAAGCTTCAGAGGAGCAACTCAAGGAGATCTTCTCTGAAGTCGGACCTGTTGTCAGCTTTAGGTCAGTTTATTTGCAGTGATACACTCCAATGTGGAGGCGTGGTGTCCTCATGGTTAGTGCGCTTGTCTCCAGATTAAGCGGTCCAAATTTGAGTCCTTGCCAGGGACATTGTGTTGTGTTCTTGGGCAAGACACTTTACTCTCACAGTGCCTCTTTGCACACAGGTGTATGAATGGGTAGTGGTGAATTTGCTGCTGTGGGATAACCCTGTGATGGTCTAGCATCCCATCCAGGAGGGGGAGTACATGTAGAAATACTCACTTCATGCTACAGAAACTGGGATAAGCTCTGGTATCATGGCTCACTTGGCTTGTATGCATACCTTTGAATACACTGTAATATACTGTCAGTTCTTAATCAAGTTATGATTCAAATTCCTGTTTTCTTGTTCACTGGAAAGAAAATTAACAGAAATCAAACATTTTCTACAAAACTCTTTTTCTGTTACAATACATAATTTGTATTGATTATTTTTTCAATGAAAATGGTAAGACAGTATCAGAAATTGTGTTGAAATGTTTTTTTCATGGAAGTCTCATGAATGACTGTCAGGTGAGGTGTTTATAAAAGCAATCAAGGTTTAAGACAGAGGTGTTTGCTAATTTTCTGTGGCATTCTAGGGGGGCAGCTTGGGCGAGTGGTCAGCATGTCGGACTTGCAATCCAGCGGTACTGGGTTTGAGTCACGCTCTGACCACTAGTCACCTGGATTTGTTTCACAGTGCCTCTGAGTTCGAATCCTGGGCTACACTTTTAAATAGCCAACTGGGTTGCCTCCAGCCAGTTGGGATTCTTAACAATGTTATGTTCAATTTGAGTTATTTGTTTCAATTGTTTGCTTGGCGCCACTAGCCCTTCTGCTATAAACACTGCCAAGGGTAAATGAATGTTATTTATTACTTCTTCTATTGGTTTTCAGACTGGTGTTCGATCGTGAGACTGGAAAGCCTAAAGGATATGGCTTTTGTGAGTATAAGGACCAAGAAACAGCCTTGAGTGCTATGAGAAACTTGAATGGATATGAGCTGAATGGAAGAGCCTTACGAGTCGACAGTGCTGCTTCAGAAAAGAACAGGGAGGAAATGAAGGGTAAATGCACTTATTTGACTACAGCGAAAATGAAATGAATTTGTGACATGGAATTATCATCTTCATCTATCATATCAGTGCCTAGTTGGCACACAGGGCTCCAGTGTTTCTTCGCCACTTGATCTAGTGAACGGCCACTTGGCAGGCACCTAAAATGTTATTTCTACATGTATGTTTAAGTATTAGGTATGGTGTTAACATTGATGGATGTTCCATTTCTTATAGAGGGCTTGTACTAACAAGGTACTTCCCTTTCCTTGTACTAGGTATAGAAGGCAGCAGTCGTCCTGAGGCAAACCCTTATGGACCAACTGTCAACCCCGAGGAAGCACCTGAAGCCATTACACAAGCTGTGGCAAGTTTACCTCCTGAGCAAATGTTTGAACTTATGAAGCAGATGAAGGTAAATGTCCTTGAGACTGATAAAATAGACTCTTGGTTACTAGGAATGATTATTTTGGGAAGGAGATGTTTTTCCCTTTAAAAATTCAAGTAGAAAAATTTGAAGCATTGGAGAGATTATGTTTTCATAATTTGGTTTATTGCTGTGGCAGGCATATATTAGGGCATCTTCTGAATAAACAAATCTGCTAAATATCCTGGTGGAAGCTCTTTCATAATCGTATATTTCAATAAGAACTTATTAAGAATGTTCTGTATGATTTGATTCATTACCCTGGCATATAGTTTATTTTAGGAGCTCGGGGAAGGGAATTTGTTGGCAACATTGTGCTTATTGCACACAGGATGCTTATTTCTTTTTTGATGTAAAGCATCTCACGATGTAAAATGAAAGACAGATCTGAAAGGAGGGGTGATTTTTACAAAGGAGGCACTTCTTAGAAGGAAGGCACTATAATCAAATTGTTACCACAGTAATTACCATTTTCAAAAGTTTACAAGTTGAGTTTTTTTTCAAACGATCACTAGGGATACCTTCCAGCAGGTCTTGTCTTCAGTTAACCCTTACATTGCCAAGCTTTCTCTTTCACGATTTGAGGTAGTTCTGGGTAGTATATCAAGTCATGAACCTTAAGTGAAGATTTTCTTTACTTTCAACACCTGTCTGCTTTATGTTGTACTGATATTGTTTGGAGAGGTCAGATGTTATTAAATCACAAGTCTTAAATTATTGATGACATGGTTGTGATCCAGATCTTTATAATATTATGACAAAATAGTTAATAGTATATAATTTTATTGTGTTAAACTCTAATTTTTATTATCTTATGTTTGGTATGTCTCTATTTCAGATTTGCATCCAGAACAATCCTGAAGAAGCTCGGCAGATGTTACTCCAAAACCCACAGCTTGCTTATGCTTTACTGCAGGCTCAGGTCGTCATGAAAATTGTTGATCCTGTGATTGCTCAGGTTGGCTAATTCACTGCTAAATGATTTTTTTGTGTGTGTCTTACTAATAAATTTTATTTTCAGCTGATAATTGGTTGCCATGATTTTCTTGCACTGCCTAGGCATTCTATTTGAAAAAGATTATTTTTTTTGGATGTTGCAGGGCATCTTGCACAGACCTGCTGATCCAGTGGCGCCGATACAACCAGCAGGTACCCAGCAGCCACCACCATTGATGGGATCAGGACCCAACAATCAGGGCCCTTCTGGACCCTTCCAGTCAGGCCCTGGACCAGCACCAGAAATGAGAGGCCCTCCAGACATGAGAGGTCCATCAGACATGAGAGGTCCTCCTGACATGAGAGGCCCAGGTGATATGAGGGGACCACCTGATATGAGGGGCCCAGGAGACATGAGGGGCCCACCAGATATGAGGGGCCCACAAGACATGAGAGGACCAGGTAGGGGTTTTATTTGCAGTATAATTAACAGTTATTCCATGAGCACGCATTGAATATTAGATGGTAGCTAGCCAACGAGGCGCGTTGCGTCGAGTTGGCCATAACCAACAAGCATGAGTGGAATAATTGTTTTATTAGAATGCCCCCAGAATATAGAAAACTAACAATAAAAAATAAAAACGCTCCTAAAAATTTTGTGTCCACTTACCATATTTGTAGAGCATGGTATAATGGCTCATATACCGAGATGGCTAAGCCAGTGAAAACTCTTGAATTGCATTATTCAATTTACCAGTTTCTAATAATGTCCACTATAATTTATAGTTATAATATTATAAACTTAACAACATGCACACAAAAATCTCTCAATCAGATTTCTTTGAATTTTTTTACTGTCACAGTCAAGTAACAAGTTACTTGTGTCAAAAGTGCAAAAGTGTTACACAATACAAGTAAATGCATATTTTTCATTGTTTATTTCTTTTGTTCCAAAAACTTCTCTAGGTCCTGAAGGGCGAGGTCCTCTAGACATGAGAGGAATGCCCCCAGACATGCGTGGTCCTCCAGATAGAGGTCCAGTTGACATGAGGGGGCCACCTAATCGAGGACCAGGTGACATGAGAGGTCCCCCTGACCGAGGACCAGGGGATATGAGAGGCCCCCCAGATAGAGGTCCAGGTGACATGAGAGGTCCCCCAGATAGAGGCCCAGGTGATATGAGAGGTCCCCCAGATAGAGGCCCAGGTGATATGAGAGGTCCCCCAGATAGGGGTCCAGGAGATATGAGAGGTCCCCCAGACAGGGGACCAGGAGATATGAGAGGTCCTCCTGACAGAGGTCCTGGAGAAATAAGGAGCCTTCTTGGAGACATGCATGGGCCAGGGCCAGATCCAAGGGACTTCAGAGGTCCCCATCCAAATGGGTCTAGAATGGCACCAGACATGAGAGGACCTGATGGCAGAGGTATATAATGTTAAGTGCTCTTGAACATTATCAATCTACTACCAATACCATGGGCAGAAAAATTTTTCCATATCAATGGATTCTTAAATGTTAGGAAAATGACTGTCTAAGCTGTTGTTCAGGACCAGAAAGGGTAGGAAATGGGAAAACCAAACCTTTTTGACTTAAAATCAAGTCACAAAGTAAGTGATTGGCCTGATGACAACTTGATTTTTAGTTTAAAAAACCCCTTTGTTTTTTTTTCCCTATTTTAGTGTAGCCTTGTAAATAGCATATTTTTTTAAATATGAAGCTTGTCTGAGGATTTTTTCCCAAAGGTTTGTCATTGTGATGAAAACTGATCAAAATTGTGTCGTAACAAATTGCACACCTTCCCAATAAAGTATAACAGGGTTGCCACAGGCCAGGAAATGGTCAGGGAAAAAAAAAATTCTTCAAGGTCAGGGAAAAGTCAGGGAATTTTATTCTGAGTCAGGGAAAATTGAAAAATTTTAACATGGCTGATTTAATGCCATTGAAGGCTGGAAGAAACATTTGGAGTCACCATGAGCTCAATGATACTTTTCCTTACGAAGAAGAAATATTTGTTGCAAACGTATTAGTCTAAATGAATGAGTAGAAAGGAGTTGACGTCAGAAGCCGATCTGACATATTTTTGTATTTATTTGGTCAGGGAAATCTTATTTTTATCAGGGATAAGTCAGGTAATTTTGAATAGTGAGGCCTGTGGCAACCATGTATAAATTTGGCGCAATGTTTGTTGCATATGACTAAAATCAGGCTAAAGCTGCATGGCCACCAGTAAAGGGACACAATATTATTGTAGCAATTTTTCTGCTTTTCTGTTCAAAACAATGCTAAACATTAGGGATGAGTACCTTCACTGGTACACAAAGTGTTCTTAGAATGCCAAGATGAAGGTATCAAGTGAATTGTTGAAGGAAGATGAATAATTTAGTTTTAGTGATTTTTCAAAGACCCACTGACAGGACTTGAAAAAGTCTGCCAGACTTATGCCATTTTTCAGCTTGACATCACAACATTGAGCATGTGTAACACATTATTTCACTCCTTTTATACCTTCAGTGCTTTTACATGTACATGTAACAACTCTAAACCAGTGAATTTGGATCAATGAGAATATGTCTGTAGGATTCTAAATTTTTTTGAGTCCCAGTTTCAATTTCTGCACAGATGTTTTGAGGTCATGGTTACATGTATTATAGTTCAAAGTGCCATTAACAGCTGTCAAACACAATAAATAGTAATTTATTTAGTAAACAGGCAGCTATATATTTCTGTAACTTAACAGCTCCAAGTAAGGAGAATTCATGTATTAGTCTAATCCTGTTGATTTCTAGGGCCCCAGGGTCCTGACTTTAGAGGCCCTCCACAGGACCAGTTTGGAGACCCAAGAGATCGCCGCATGCCATTTGATCCCAGAGATCCGAGGAATAGAGAGCCGCCGAGAGGTATTTTTAATTAGTACTCCTTGTGTTTAAAGTTCCAGTTAGATCCCACTCTTTCAAACTCCCATGGGATACGTTTGCGATTGCTTGGGAAAGCAGGATTATTCTCTCATGACTAAAAACATGGATTCTAAATATGCAAAGAAAATGACAGTATTTTTTTTGTCAAGATAAGTAAGTTCAAGATGGCAGGTTCATACATGTAGACATTGTGTCGTGGATTAGGCACATGTTTTTTTTTTTTTTGATCAAAAAAGAGGAACATTCAACATGCCAAACCCTTAATATTTACATTGCAAGTCTTTTTGTACAACCACTTTGTTTATTTACTCTAGATGATAGGCGAGGTCCATCAGGAGACCCAAGAGATCAACCAAGGGATCCCAGAGGGCCTCCCCCAGATCAGCGATTTGGAGCTGGTGGCCCAAGGGATCCACGTGCTGAACGTGGTCCACCAGGCCCCCCATCTGATGGACGATTTTCAGGGCCTGCCCATTCTCCACAGCAGCAATGGGCACCCAACCAAGGGGGACCTCCTCCAAGGGGGCCGCCAGGTGAGATAAGTGATCTCAAAGAATGCAAAATGTATATGTAACACCATTTCCATGCTCATTGTCTGGATTGTCTCTCTTACCATAAAAATGGATTGTCTCTTGCCATAAAAATGCTTTTGAGTTGTTTTATTTTGTCTTGTTTCTAACATTGCTTAGAACCAACCTTGAATGAAAGATTATGCCTTGTATTTTGTGTGACACATATGACTAGATTCTTCATTCAGACTGTACCTTTTGTGTTTCTAACATGCAATACCTTTCTACAGGCTTTAATCCTCCCCAAGCAGGGCCCGTTCAACAGGGTGCTGATGTCACAGCACAGGATCAAGAAAAGGTAAAAACAGACTTTCCTTTGTTTTAACTTGATTTTTGCAATCTGCTTGTCCTGGGAGGGGGGGTACTCTGTAAATCATCGGTAGGGGTGTGCCACTGGGACACTCACCCTATACTAGACCATGATCAGCTTGATTTTGCAAGCCTATTCTAGACTATCAAAGACTAGCTATTTTCCATGCGGAAACTTTATCACTCTTGTAGTCCAACATACACTATAAAAACTAAGCCAATATCTTACAAGCTAAGGTCACTTTTGAGTTTCAATTTTGTATTTTAAACCCTGGGTAAAGAACCCTGTTCTAGACTTAATGATTCATACACTGACCACTTTTGCGGTAAATTATACCCTGATCTAGACCAAAACCATCTGATTTCTATACCCATCCCTGACTAAACTGCCCTTAACAGCAGCACATACCATATAACTTATATATGGGAGTATTCCCCCACCCCCACCCCCAGCTGCTTGTCAAAAGTTACATAGGAATGATCTTCAGAGTATTCTACTGGTTTATCAGCTTACAAAGAAAGTATAAACGTTATTTGTTTCCTTCACAGGCCGCCCTTATCATGCAGGTGTTGAGCCTCACTGATCAACAGATTTCGCTGCTGCCTGCTGATCAGCGACAGAGTATCATGGTACTGAAGGAACAGATAGCTCACAGCACGCAGCCCAATTAATTTATGATGGCAATAGCATTCGATTTGTTCTCTCTGCTTTATAAGCTTCATTAAACTTGTCAAAGATGCTGTTTGTGAAATTTCATTTCCAGGCTTGTATGGCTTCCTTTTAAAAGAGCGTGCGAACAATGACGTCACTGGACGGTCACTCGCCCCATGTTTCACACTGCTGGCTGTCTTGGGCGCTTTCCGATTATATGGGAAAACTTTCTTTCCGCCTGGAGTAACCGAATAGCAGGCTGGAGTTTTTTTCTGTCGCCTACTTCCGGTGGAAGTGGAAAGAAATTTTAAGAGCTGGTTTTTTAGTGTAATTTTATGACGAACTGGTGGTAAAGAAGCGCTGAAATGTGTGTAGGGGAAAACAAACTAAGCCGTTGTGGTAACTTATATTTTCTTCCTTGTTTCCCCTTCTTTTTGTGCGGTTTTTGAGGTTACGGGCTCAAGCCAGTCACCACTATGTCATCGGATATGTAAAGATAGTCCGTCACTTATCAGAAGCTTTCGGTGAGACCGAAATTCCTCGAGATTTACTCGAGTTCTTTTTATCTATTTTCGCCTTTAATTAAGATGCGGGTTGTTTTATCGTTTATAGTTGGTTCCGTTTCATTGGATATCACATTTCGAGTAAAAAATTCGAGTTTACCAGCAGAAACATGGCGCTATGAATGTCTTCAATGACAAATTATGTAACCCAATTATACTGGCCTTCGAACCCAGGAGAACGCCAACCTCGTTCCTAGGGTCCTGTCAAGTTGGGAGAAGGCAAACCTCATGGTGTCCTGTGTACGCGTAATACTGGGGAAATGCTTTAGTCGAAGCAAATTATGCCCCCGAAAGTTTTTTCAGGTTTCATTAGATCCCTCCGTCGAGACCATTGTATTTTTACTAAAATTCCCCCTTTTTCCCCATGTAGGCGTTAGCTCTTTTGACAACTTTTAACACTCTTATTGGATCAATAACAAATCATACAATCCTTCAATTTTCAGTCACTCTTGACACTTTTCACTTGAAACTGGAGATTTCAATATTGGCAACCTTAAAAAGTTATCACACCAAGAACCGCACTCACGTCACTCCATCTCAACAGAATGAACTTCTTAAAATATTACTTATTTTCTGAGCAAAACTTTTTTTATTTCTGATACGTGCCAATGTTGTACAAGATTGCAAAAATATCTGTAGTTATAATCTGATCCGGCCTGAATTTTGAAATATTAATTCCTGATGATGGTACAGTGCGTCAAAACGAAAAATAAAATAAATTTGATGAATAGCTATTGAGCAACACAAGTAATGATGACCACAACCTTGTCATTCAAAAAAATGTTCCCACATAAAAAAGTCGAAACCCCAGTTCGTAAAATGTAGAGTACTTTTTCACTGGTGTTTGTATGGAGCGGTTTTCATTTGAGTGAGTAAAATTAATCGGTTTTGCATCAACTACGCGACACGATTGGCTTAAAAAACTCGCGCCACTTTTTCTTCCAATTAGAAGTGAAACCCAAACCCAACCGTGATTCACATGCACTTGTTTTCCCGCGCTTTGCGTTAGCTATATGTCATTACTTCGAGTTTTGATTGGTTCACTGTATTGTCTGAGTCCTTTGTGATTAGTCAGTGATTACTTTGGTTTTGGTTTTACGACACTCAACTGAAAACAGCTCTAGTAGAGGAAGGTAAAAAATATTTAAAATTATACTACAAACAAAGTTCTGAACAGGTTAATTATAATAGATAAATTCGACCCTTTGCCTGTAAATGGCCATTAACAGAACAACCATACATTACACAATAAATATTACAATATTTCCATTTCTTGTGAAACATTCTTATCACCAATTAACATGAAATAACGTTTTGTATTGTAAAATGCATACATTATAATCCCGGTTTCTCGAACCCTCGATTTTTCGAACCTTCCGATAACTCGAACCAAAAGTCATATTTTTCCCCAAGTCAAACACTGTTATTTTACCTCCGATTTCAAGAACTACTTGATTTTTCAAACCAATTTTCGTTACCTTTTGAGGTTTCAAAAATCGGCGTTGCACTCTACAGTATTCTTACCGTTTAAATATGTTTCAAGATCGAAAAACTTTAATGTAAAAAGCGAAGTTTCCCTCAGTAATAACCTTATCTTACGTAAACCTGTTACGAAATATCAACGTTAAAAAATATGATCCAGCATCACGAAATATAGACATGCATGGAACATTTCCATAAATATCTTAATAATATTCATTCTAACTAATGAGAACATGGTGGGTCCACCAATACTTGTACCCATGTCTCCTTGAAAAATATGTCTAGTTCAGACAAGAAAATATATTAATTTAAATAATTTAAATTGATTTTGTATATTTTGAAGGCCAGTGGTGAGGTGACTGACTTTGGCCAGTCCATAAATCTAAAATTCATACCAAAGAACAGTGGCGGAGCTTTCCAATTAAATGTGCAAAAGTGTGAGGTAAAAGAAGATTAAATTAAAGCGATTTAACAATGTCCAAAATAGATGTAAGTTGCCAATGAATTTGGCGAAAAGCGAGGGAAAGTTCTCCCGCGCGAGTTTTGGCTTTGAAATCGTCAAAAGAATCTTATATGACATTTAATATTAAGCTCAAAAAATTGAATAGAACTGTTGGATTATAAAACTTTTAAGTTTTAAAACTGCATTGATTTATGACAAGAGACGCTTTGTTCAAAACAGATCTTCAAAAAAGGCTTTAACTATTAATCCGTCTATTTGACTTTCCGCCACACAGTCAAACTACCCCTTTCCTAAAATTGCATTAAACTATAAAATATTTCCCCGTGTCAACTGCTAAACACTTCCCACGATTTACGGAAGCCTTGCCATTTCCAGTACTGCTCGGTTTGCATCTCAGTCAGGCGAGAAATGGTGCGTTCAAACGCGAAGATTTCTTCCTCGGCCGTGAATATGGCGCTTGAATGAGCATCGGACTGTAAAATACAAAACGGAGAAGAACAGTCATAGCTACATACTGCGATCGTCCCCACAGATATCATATGCCGTAAACACTTTCGAAGGCAGCAGATTTATTAGCAGAGTCGTATCTTTTGGGTGTGGTTAATGGTTAAAAGGAATTAAAGGCGGGAAAAGATGGTTTGTGATTGGAGAGTGATCATCTTCTCATTCACTTTCGTGTAGTTCTCCCCTCCCCTGTCTGTCGCGCAACGCTACACTCTCGGGAGGGAGGCTTGGAACCTCTCCCGAGAGCGTAGCGTTGCGTGACAGAGGAAGGGAGTGCAAAACTGGGCTACGTTCACTGTGGTAGTACGGTTTGTTTGCTGCTAGAAGAGAGTCATTGCTTACAAAGGGTCGCTAGTTTTATGAAATTACTAGGGAGAAGTGTGCCAGTCTCTCTATCCTGCAGTAAATCTTCTAGGAAAACACACACGTTATTTAATGTGGACTTTCAGACACCCGTCAGTTCAACTTCTCCTCGACCCTCCAACATGTACCCTGTGTGCAAGTGGAGTTTTCCCCAAGGTCTAAGAGAACGCCGCGGTGGCGAGGTCAGGGCCGTGTTAGCTCAGGCCTTGAAAAACATTCCTCTAGCAGCCCCCTGCTAGTAGTAGTTGTTGCCACAGCAACCATCTTCACCTGTCGCTTCGTTTATACCACAATAAAAGTCAGTCAAAAATCAAATTATCTTACATAGGAGTAAAAGAGACATAAAAATACCAACAAACAAACGGAGATGCTTACAGCTGATAAGTCCAGGTCGTCCATTAGTTTTCGTTTGAAATCATCATCATTCGTGGCTAGAGGAGTTGCAAGGAAAAGATCTCCGACTGAGGTCGCGGCTGAACATATAAGACGAATCTAGGCAAATTAAAGGACACTTTAGTTACAGCAAACAAATTTAACTACAAAAGACAACACTGTCATAAAATTTAATGTAAAATTTCAGCACTGCTCAAACACTTTTATCCAGACTAAACCACTGAAAAAAAATATAGGGCTTGTAGTCAGTGCTTATATAAAATAATGCATCGACTTCAGGAGTAAATACAAACAAAATGTTTATATCTAAACAAACCACCACGCATACACACGATCAGATCAGTGCAATGAAAGAGAAGAGGTTAGGGCGCAAATAAACTCATAGCTTTAAAGCGGGAAAACAGCACATAGGATGTAACCAAATCTACAAGGCAGTCTAAATATTTGCCTCACCCTGTTGTCATAGAGAGCGTCAATGAGGGTGATGAATCTCCTGGCCTCTGTCTTTTGAAACAATGTCATTCTGGGAATGTCTCGTAAAATGATAACATCGAAGTTCTCACACAAAGCCAAATAATCCGCTGCTCCTAAAGGCTAAGGGAAAAGGAAAAAATTAAAGTTTGTCAGAGGTTAGAGTCCTAAGAATTTTTCTGTCGGATTATTTTGATCAGAATTGGTCACGTGGTCTAAACGCGATTAATCCCTAGTTTCCAATCAATTGTCCAATCATAAATCAAGCTAACTGCTCTCCGGGGAAATAGCGCCTGTGTGCAGCAACTGTGCGCATGCCAATAAAATGCATGTGATTCCTTACCGCTTGACTGGCTAAGCACTTCAGAAAACCAAGAAAAAGACTTTAAAAGTTGTATGTTATCGTATTGCCCGCGTTGAAGGACTGGAAAATATGTTAACTACGGTCAACAGTAGCCAAAACACAAGTGATATCCGTTTTAATTAGTGGTTACCTGGGCACAAAGCTCTTCAAACATGAAATCAGCGACTCTTCCACAAGTTCGCGGTGCGGTTAGCTTTCTTGTGCCAAGCACTTGTATTGTTTTAGGACCTGGATTGCATTCAGCGTCTTCTGTTTGTGAAACAATACAAACATCACATTGGTAAGGTAACGGTGGCTTTTTTTTCTACAAAGATTGCTTTTCCAGTGAATCAACCCTGCTTCACTGACAAAGAACAACAATACAAGTCAAGCTGGCCTGAATAAATGGACTTTCTCTTCACATGCTAAATCAAATTTCTTCCTTAGTTTGACAGTCCTCTGGGATTGCAGCCGACATATTCCATACTGACGATCTACTCTATTCTAATTAGTTACTGCTAGATTTTGAATTTTCGCGCACAATGCCTTGCAAAAACATTTTCCATGGCGAGCTGCACAAACACTGCCTGGTGTCTGACTCATCCCCAGTCGTTTTCATAGAACACGCGGCACAGCGCAAGGTTGGGGAGCAATGGGTGATGGGAAGGGAAAAGAGAAGAAGACGTTGTCTTGCTCTCTCACTTTCTCTCTACCAATCCCACCCTGCACTCCCACCTCACCCCATGCCGCACACCGTATGAAGTTGAAGACTGGGGACCAGTCAGGATGAGTGTCACACCCCCTTAAAAAGTGTGCACTTTGACAAAGTTAATACTTGCTTTCAGCAAAAGGTCATCTAAGACTTTGAAGTAACATACCTTGCGTTTGTTGTTGAGCTAATGTAGCAAATATCCAGTCCAATTCACCAGTTGTTTCTGGAGTAAGAGAGCTGATGTACAAAACAAAAGCTTTCTGTATGTTGATGTATGATCTATTAAGCTTTAGTTGTATATATATTAAAAGAAAAATGTCACAACAGGGTGGGATCGTAAATGTGGCAGGGTACATTGGCGGAATTTAAGCAAGAATTTAATGTATACCAGACAGAAAGGTAAAGCCTTTACACAAACCTGAAGAATACTTTGCCGATGAAAGCCATATCTGTAAATTCAAAAGTGAAAGTAATAGTTTAGAATTTGATTTATCGCTGAGAAAGGCAGAATCGTTCTTTTTTTATTTTAATTAGTGAAAAATCCTATTTTGGGATGTCCCTTAAAGCCTCGGAGAAAAACCTTATCTTTCTAAAATGATAACAGTAGATCGAAAGACCACATTGTCCAGTAATATACTAGTTGAAAGGTATTGTTTAGGGTATGTCCTAAATCACAACAACAGACATACAAGATGTCACAAATTGAATTGAGGAGTCTGCAAAGTAAAAAAATGAAAACGTTAAAAAATACCTCATTCCTTGTATATACTGGGTATACCCTTAGACAATAGCTTAATTTGCAGCTCTGGGTGTGCAGATGTTTATCAGATATTCACTTGACCAAAAAATTGTAAAGCGCAAAAGTTTCAAAAACTTGAAGGGTGGTTAATCAGGTCTGATTCAGGAGGGGGTATGATTTTATGCTTCCAATGTGAAGATCTCTCAAAGATCCTTTTGGTGTCCAAAGTTGAAATGAATTGGCCAAATATTAAGCTTGTTATAATATTTTGTGCCATATGGCACTATCAGGGCTTAAAGGGAAACAGATATTGGCCCCACCTGTTCTGCGATAATCTATTCCAGAATCAAGGCTGAGAACTTTGCAGTGTTTCTGAAAAGACCAAATACTTAGTTATTTAATAAGTGTTCACAATATTTTCTGTCGTGATAATGTACATACATATAAGTTATTACGTTTACCAAACATTTAACCAATAATCAGACCAGTCTATTTTAGCGTTGTACTGCAAGAAACATATTTAGCTGAATACACATGAGCATGGTCCCCACCATTTTCGATCATTTTATTTGCAACTGGAAGTGGAATGCGAACTGACATCTGTCTACTCAGGTGAGCTTAGTTTTCAACTGAAAACAAAACATTACTACTAACCGATTGTGCTCCTGTGACTGGCTAAAATTTCCTTGAGGTTTAATTTTGTTAAGGCAAGTTCAGAACATGGTTGGTCCGGCTTTTGAATAAGTAGCAAAACAGGTTTGCAACCATTTACCTAAAGTTATTATTGGAACAGTTTCTCACCTTAAGAATAGGTATAAAGGGCAGGAAGTTACTTCTTTGAAGACCATTTTTGTACAAATCTAAACAAGAATTAAATTATGCAACAAAGTGAATCCTACCATGTTATGTGTTCATGACTGTTAAAACAATGCAACATTGATGATAATCTCTATTACTAATAACCTGTTCAACACAAAACCAAAGTTGGAAGTTGGGTGCAACTTTACCCTTTCCATTACAAGTTCAAACTGTAAATTCTCAATACTGACTGCCATACATTTCTTTTAATACTAGTTCTGAAAATTTGATGGTACATCAACACAATATCTAAATTGATGATTTTTTTTATACTAACTATCTGATCTGTATCAGTTGGGAACTGAGTTTAGAGATCTGCATACCGTCTGGATGTCTATTTGATGTAGCAATCATTACAACTCCTTGTTCAAACAGTGCCGTGAATAATCTCTTGAGAATCATTGCATCAGCAATGTCTGTTACCTGCAAAAAAACAAGATGCAATCAAAGTAAATAGCTGGTAGCACATACAAAACAGCACTAAATGACATCTATTTAAGTGTGCGTAACTTGTTACATTTTGTACTGAGTTCAAAGTTCTGACTTCTCATAAAACTAATATCTATAGACTTTTTTTAATATTTTCTTTAGAATTTTCATGTTTCTCAATAGTATCCTTCATTAAAATGTCCACATCCTCATCAGTTTGCTAGTGCAATTTTTGTATTAATTTCTGATTAATTTTCTTACAATCAAAATTGTTATGTTATAGTAGCAGAATTGTAGGCACGCAGTGCAGTTGGGGCTATTTAGTTTATCCTTAACATGCAAGGCTGTCATTAAATTTTCAGTCAACTGTAGCCCTGATCTTCACACCCAGTAGCTTACTACCTTTTAGGTGAATTGATTGTTTCAACTATAGTCCAGTTCGCCCTTCTTAACAATGAGGGCCCATCAAATATACTCAGCCGAAGCACTTGTTGTAGATTACTGCTCTCATTGACAGCCCTGCCTATGATGTTACATAGTACATAATAACTGTATATGGGTTTCCCAGGCTGCAGTAATTATAATAACAATAACGATAACGATAACGATAATGATAATAATAATGATAATAATAAATGAAAATAATCTTTAACAAGGGAACCCAGCTTGCCATGGCAGTTGTCAGTGGGGCTCTAAAAAAATGAAATTAATAAATTCATGAGCTTGAGGAGAAAAATGTTTGAGACTAATTTAAGTGTCCCAAAAAGAACCACTGACTAGTTATGATGTTACCTGGAACTCATCAAAACATAAAAGCCACCACTTGGAGCTGATCTGTTCAGCAACTGGAGGAATAGGATCATATGGCTGGGCTCTTATGGACTTAGGGTCTCGTGGAGGAAGTCTGGCTTTAAACTTGTGGATACCTGCACAAGACAAAGCTCTTTGAACAAGATCTCCTAAATAAAATTCTTGGTTATTTACAACACAGCCCATATAAAAAAAATATTTGCTCCAATTGACCGTTCACAGATTGACGATATAACACCAAGAAAATAGCCAAGTAAAATTTGGTTCAGAGCATATTTAAGCAAACTGCTGGACGGTATAACATAGAATGATAGTATCATGTAGAGGAACTCAACAAAAACTGAAGAGAAATATTTATAAATAAATTGGAACCTCGCACTGATATTACAGTTTCCAAGTCAAAGGTTTTCACTTTTAGCACTCATAACTGTTTTACTCATTTCTTGTTGGCAATTAAGACACTTTACTCTCACAGTGCCTCTCTCCACCCAGGTGCATAAATGGGTACCGGCGAAATTAATGCTGGGGGTAACCCTGTGATGGACTTTCATCCCGTCCAGGGGGGGGGGGGGATGGAATTACTGCTAGTTGCTTCATGCTACAGAAACCAGAGATACTGTAAGCGCAGGCCTGATTGGCCACTTGGCTCGTATGCAGACTTTACCTGCATGTTTAATATTGTATAACAAAATATAGAAATAAATACTCAAAGACTAATGAAATGTTTCACAGAAATAATTATTATTAATATTAAAAACTGGATCACTGTATAATGCAATTCGAGAGTTTTCATTGGCTTAGCCATCATGGATTATACCATGCTCTACAAATGTGGTAAGCGTACGCATAATTTTTGGGGCATCTTTACTTTTATTTTAGTTAAGTTTTCTCTATTTTGGGGTGTTTTTAAGAAAAAAAAATTATTCCACTTGCGTTTGCTGGATATGAGATGATTATAGCCAATGTAACGTCTGCAGCGACTGGCAAATTCCAAAACGAGATGAAACAAAACAAGCTCTAGGCATGTCGCGACAAACTAGTGGGTGGGACTACTTTACAGGTCGTCTTCAAGGGTAGACAAGTAAACCACAGAAAACCAAAGTTGACGGTTATCGGCGATTTATTACATCAACATAAACGATCGTAAACTGAAATAACAATATGTAACGAATTTCTTTCAATTTAGCAGAAAAGTTGCATAACAAATAGTCAAAACTTACACGAGACAAACTAACGATTTGGAATCGACAACATAACGAAATTGAATAACAATACATCAAAAATAGCCAGCGTAAATACTACGCTAAGATACTAAATAAGATTCAATCACAGAAGTAAACAACAAAAGGGACTAATTAACAGCTCAATGCTTTCGAGCCTAAAAGGTGGGTGTTCACTCTAGTAACGTTCCGAACACTTTCTAATTTAGACAATTATAAATCAATTAATATTGTACAAATCTTTCTATGTATTCCTTCACCCATAGCTATAAAAAACGTAACCTAACCAAAATGACAAAGGTACTCACATATTGGTCCCGCTTGAGCCAAGGGTTAGGAAATCAAAAAACATCAAGAGTTCAAGGTTGACAAGACCAAACGAGATGGAAAGAAAAACTACTTTAAAGGGACGCTAACTCAGCTTTTATATGCGCGTGGTGACGCTTAAAGGTCCGATTACAAAACCAATAAAAAAGAAGTCAACATTGTAACTACGTTCGTAACTAAGATAAAGAGACAATTATTAACTAATCAAAATTGACCTTTGTCTAGTGTCCTTAACAGCCAACTTGGTGCTACGCACATTGGCTGTCTACAATCTCATATCCAACACACGCTTGTTGAATAATTGTTAATGAAACATTTGTCAAAACAGGAATATAGCTGAAGACTGAATTTCTACATACTTGAGTGAACATCCAACATGAATGAATGAAAGTGAACTCTTTGTTTCTTTTCCACAGGAATTTCATCATAAAATATGGAAAACAGCACATAGGATGTAACCAAATCTACAAGGCAGTCTAAATATTTGCCTCACCCTGTTGTCATAGAGAGCGTCAATGAGGGTGATGAATCTCCTGGCCTCTGTCTTTTGAAACAATGTCATTCTGGGAATGTCTCGTAAAATGATAACATCGAAGTTCTCACACAAAGCCAAATAATCCGCTGCTCCTAAAGGCTAAGGGAAAAGGAAAAAATTAAAGTTTGTCAGAGGTTAGAGTCCTAAGAATTTTTCTGTCGGATTATTTTGATCAGAATTGGTCACGTGGTCTAAACGCGATTAATCCCTAGTTTCCAATCAATTGTCCAATCATAAATCAAGCTAACTGCTCTCCGGGGAAATAGCGCCTGTGTGCAGCAACTGTGCGCATGCCAATAAAATGCATGTGATTCCTTACCGCTTGACTGGCTAAGCACTTCAGAAAACCAAGAAAAAGACTTTAAAAGTTGTATGTTATCGTATTGCCCGCGTTGAAGGACTGGAAAATATGTTAACTACGGTCAACAGTAGCCAAAACACAAGTGATATCCGTTTTAATTAGTGGTTACCTGGGCACAAAGCTCTTCAAACATGAAATCAGCGACTCTTCCACAAGTTCGCGGTGCGGTTAGCTTTCTTGTGCCAAGCACTTGTATTGTTTTAGGACCTGGATTGCATTCAGCGTCTTCTGTTTGTGAAACAATACAAACCACATTGGTAAGGTTACGGTGGCTTTTTTTCTACAAAGATTGCTTTTCCAGTGAATCAACCCTGCTTCACCGACACAGAACAACAATATAAGTCAAGCTGGCCTGAATAAATGGACTTTCTCTTCACATGCTAAATCAAATTTCCTCCTTAGTTTGACAGTCCTCTGGGATTGCAGCCAACATACCGGGTATTCCATACTGACGATCTACTCTATTCTAATTGGTTGTTGCTAGATTTTTGCCCTGCAAAAACATTTTCCATGGCAAGTTGCACAAACACTGCCTGGTGTCTGACTCGTCCCCAGTCGTTTTGATACAACACGCAGCACAGTGCAAGGTTGGGGAGCAATGAATGATGGGAAGGGAAAATAGAAAAAGACACTGTCTTGCTCTCTCACTTTCTCTCTACCCATCCCACCCTGCACTCCCACCTTGCCCCATGCTGCACACCGTATGAAGTTGAAGACTGGGGACCAGTCAGGACGAGTGTCACAACCCCTTAAAAAGTGTGCACTGTGACAAAGTTAATACTTGCTTTCAGCAAAAGGTCATCTAAGGCTTTGAAGTAACGTACCTTGCGTTTGTTGTTGAGCCAATGTAGCAAATATCCAGTCCAATTCACCAGTTGTTTCTGGAGTAAGAGAGCTGATGTACAAAAAAAAAAAGCTTTCTGTTGATGTATGATTTATTAAGCTTTAGTTGTATATATCTATATTAAAAGAAAAATGTCACAACAGAGTGGGATCGTACACTGTAAATGTGGCAGGGTACATTGGCAGTATTTAAGCAAGAATTTAATATACACCAGACAGAAAGGGAAAACTATTACACATACCTAAAGAATACTTTGCCGATGAAAGCCATATCTGTAAATTCAAAAAAAAATCAAAGTAATAGTTTAGAATTCAATTTATTGCTGAGAAAGGCAGAATTGCTCTTTTTTTTTAAAATTGGTTAAAAAATCCTATTTTGGGATGTATTTAACAGATATTATGACCTCACCCGTTCTGCGATAATCTATTCCAGAGTCAAGGCTGAGAACTTTGCAGTGTTTCTGAAAAGACCAAATACTTAGTTATTTATTAAGTGTTCACAATATTTTCTGTCATGATAATGTACATACATATAATTTATTAAGTTTACCAAACATTTAACCCATAATCAGTCCAGTCTATATTAGCGTTGTACTGCAAGAAACATTAGTTGAATACACATGAGCTCGCTCCTCACCATTTTCCATCATTGTACTTGCAACTGGAAGCGGAATGTGAACTGACGTCTGTCTACTCAGGTGAGCTTAGTTTTCAGTACAAAAGATTGCTACAAACTGATTTTGCTCTTGTAACTGGCTATAATTTCCTTGAGGTTTAATTTTGTTAAGGCAAGTTCAAGAAAACGGTTGGTCTGCCTTTTGAATTTCTTCTATCTTCTTGAATTTTCTCTGATCATGTACAAGTAGTAAAAGAGGTTTGTAACCATTTACCTAATGCTATGATTGGACCAGTTTCTCACCTTTAGAATAGGTATAAAGGGCAGGAAGTTACTTCTTTGAAGACCATTTTTGTACAAATCTAAACAACAATTAAATTATGCAATAAAGTGAATCATTCAGATGTTATGTGTTCATGTTAAAACAATGCAACATTATTTTTTTAAGCAACAGAGCACTTTTTCCGTGTTTACATAGCCTCATCTAAACAAGAGAAGGGTCGGGAGAATTCGAGACAGTTATCTAAAGCCGAGACATAGTTGAGGGTTTGCATAACTTTGAAGAATTCTCCCAGCCCCCAAGTTTTTAGATGAGGCTAATGTAAACATGGAAAAAGTGCTCCTGACTATTGCTTTTATAAAATAATTCTCAAAAATATGGGCAAATCCAAAACGTCACAACCGTGTTTATATTCGATCAATAAGAGAGTGCGTAGTAGCTCAGTTATTTTATAAAACCTGTTCAGCAACACAAAACCAAAGTTGGAAGTTGGGTGCAACTTTACCCTTTCCGTTACAAGTTCAAACTGTAAATTCTCAATACTGACTGCCATACATTTCTTCTAATACTAGTTCTGAAAATTTGATAGTACATAAACACAATATCTAAATTGATGATTTTTTTGTACTAATTAATATCTGATCTGTATCAGTTGGGAACTAAGACTGAGTTTGGAGATCTGCATACCGTCTGGATGTCTATTTGATGTAGCAATCATTACAACTCCTTGTTCAAACAGTGCAGTGAATAATCTCTTGAGTATCATTGCATCAGCAATGTCTGTTACCTGCAAAAAAAAAAAAAAGAATGCTGATGCAATCAAAGTAAATAACATAGCACATACAAAACAGCACCAGATGACACCTATTTAAGTGTGTGTAGCTTGCTACATTTTGTAGGAGAACGAAGTTCTGACTTCTCACAAAACTAATTTCTGTACACATTTTTTTTTACAAAAAAATCATTCTAAGAAATTTGACAATTCGAAGAAATATAATAAACTTGCAAATGTAAGCCTTTAGAATTTTCATGTTTCTCGATGGTACACTTCATTAAAATGTCCACATCCTCATCAGTTTGCTACTACAATTTTTGTATTAATTTCCTGTTAATTTTCTTACAATCAATTATCTAGTAGCAGAAATATAGGCACACAATGCATTAGGGGCTATTTCAATTATCTTTAACATGCAATGTTCCTATAACGGCTGTCATTAAATTTTGAGTCAATTCTAGCCTTGATCTTCACACTCCGTAACTTGCTACCTTTTAGGTGAATTAATTGTTTCATTAAAATGTCCACATCCTCATCAGTTTGCTAGTGCAATTTTTGTATTAATTTCTTATTAATTTTCTTACAATCAATTATCTAGTAGCAGAAATATAGGCATGCAAATATGCATTAGGTTCACCCTTCTTAACATGAAGGGCCTATCAAACATACTCCAGCGGTTGTTATGGGTTACTGCCCTTATTGACAGCCCTGCCTGTGATGTTACATATTAATTAAGGTCATTCCCCAGTATTGCATTGCGCATCCTTACTGCGCATAATTTCACGCGTGATTAGTGCGCGTGCATTAAAATATGGCGGCTTTTTGTTTACAGCTGGACCTCGCCATAGAGGTAAATCGTCATTTTCTCGCAAGCGAGTATGGTGACCTATCATTTTTTTCTGTTGTTTTGA